CAAAGATTGGAGCCTTGGGTGGGTTGTGGGAGACGAAAAGACTAGACCTGGATTGGGTAAATCTTGGGGTGCCACTCCCCTTGCTAAGCAACAAGGTTGTTCTACACTCCAATCAGAACATAAGAGTAACCACTGCTGAAAGAGTTCCACCGAGTAAAGTTTAATGCCCAAAATCTACACCTTGGATCCACAACCATCACTTTCATCCCTGCATCCATCTCGTTCACCAATCTCTCCATCTCCTCTCTCACCAGAAACTCCTCCATTTGCTTACAGGGCATTATCAAAAGGTTATGTCCCTGATTTAGGTCAGTCATGTATAATGTCTTCTCTATCACTCTCATAACACCTCTACCTCCATGGCTCTTGATCACGTTCAACAACACCTCAGACATTTCTACGTCTCTAGCTGGCCCTGGATTTGATGGTGGTGGAGGAGGTGATGGTGATGCTACTCCTAAAGCAATAGCGTAATTATCTCGCTAATTTTCTTCCCCTTCTTCATCCTCTCTTGTGTCAACTCCTCCATCTCAATCTCAACCAACAACTTCAAGAATTCAAGACCAATCTCGTTCTTCTTCTGATATATTTTCTTTATCATCCCACTCCTCACATTTAGTTGTTGATGGAGAAAGATGTCCTTTCATTGGCACCTCTCAAGATTCTTCTTCTTCGTCTCCTACTGCTATGTCAATCTTTCTTTCTAAATTTCGAGTATAATTGCAATTATGTAATTTGATGACTAAAAAGAAATAGAAAGGGTAAGAGTTAGAGTCCCATCCTAACTAAAATTTTACTTCTAGTGGGTTTCTACAAAATCTTTTTTAAATCTCTTGCTTTGGTGTCTTATTAGTGAAGGTTTGAGATTCTTGTAATCCTTCTCTTATGGTACATTTGGTTTCTGAGAAAGGACGAGATGAGAAAAGAATATATTTTTCCCATTTTTGCATCTAAAGTTTGTTTCCCGAAAACTAGTATTATCAAAATTCATTTTCCTGTGTTTGTTTTCTTAGAAAATTTAACATGAAACATATAAACTAAGTTTGTTGTTTGTGATGATCTAAAGCAAAAAATAATAATAATAACAATATAAAGATATCAGACCTGAGATCAATCGAACAAAAGAAAATGATTTGAATCAAAAGCTGGTCACAAAAATATCAGATCTGGTGATAAGAGGAACTCCAGATCTGGAACAAACATATTTCAAAAGCCAGATCTGGAGCTCTGGGTGAACGAACTCAAATGGTCGCCCGTATAGAAGCTAGATCTGGATTAAACATGTTAGGAGCTAGATCTAGACGAACAAGGATGGAGGGAGCCGGTGGTGAGATTTCGAAGGGAACCCATCCAACGGAATAGGTCAAAAACGGTATAAAAATGAACAAAAACGATGAGATGGTGCCGGATCTAAGCTTACCGTTTGACGAGAATGCCAAAGTTGACACCGGAGATGTTACCGCTGGACGGCTCAAAGGAAGGAGACAATATCTGTGAAAGTGGCTCTCGACAATATTTTCTCACCACTTGCCTATTCTTTCTTTTCTCAGCAGCGTCTCACCATTTTAGTGCGACCCCGCTTACTGATTTTTGGGAACCCACATCCCTAGTGTTTCCCTTTCTTTCCTAGGTTTTCCTTTAAAACAAACATATGCAAAACCAAATATTCCCCAAAGATGTTTCCCTTCCCTTCTTGGAAACCAAATGCACCATTAGTTCGAAACTTCACATCCTATGAACTGATATTCTTTTAATGTGAAACTGCCAATTGTGAGCCATTGGCAAGTGAACCCATTTTGAAACCATTTGATTACAGACAACACACCTCACTTCTCTTTATCTCTTGAATCCTTCACCTCTACCAACTTATGATTTATTGATGCATTCTTCATCACTAACACAATCAAAATAGTGATGATCTCTCTTGGTCTCACCCACACGTTGACAAAGGGCAACGAGTGGCCTCTCTTCTCACCTTGATGCAAGGTAAAAAATTGACAACTTCATTTCTTTTGTATCATATATTTATATTCTAGTACCGATGGATTGGTTCTAGTTCCTGATTTATTGTCTTAATTACTGTCGGTTAAGAACCAGTTCTACTCGGTCCTGAACTGATTTAGGCTTGACGCAAGTCATATATATTAAATTTATAATATATTAGATAAATCAATACATATGTAATATTTTTAGTAGGTTTATTATAATTATATCCATTGGGTCAGGCCCAATTGTCACAAGAACTGATCGATTCGATTCTAGGTCTAAAATTATATAGGGTCTAGTGTGGTTCCCGTTCCTTAATATTTCTTGTCAGGTCAGTTCTGATTTTACCTAGACTTGACCCATTGACCCTATCCTACCCAACCTGGGTGAAGATGGGGCTTGATCCTAGGTCTCAATAGCTACACCAATTGAGGGGTGGCTCGATCGGTATGCTAACTGGTTCGTTCTAGCAAAGATGAGGATTCGAGTCTTGTTACGTCAAATTAGAGGGAGATTATAAATGTGGTGCCACGCTTCTCAAATGGACACTATGGGGGATTTCGGCATATCGCCAATTACCAAAATAAAAAAAAAAAAAAAATAGTATACCTTAATTAATAATAGTATACCTTATGAAACATGACACAATAAAATATAAAAAGTAGTCTATATAAGATCTTTAATGCAATTAGTTGAAATTTCCATGTAACATGTCATAAAAATTTTGAAATGAACTATTTGGACTTATTTTTATATAGATGATACATTCAAAGAATTAGGTTCAGATACCTGAAATTTGATATATTTATTAATTAGATTGAGTTTGGGAATTGCTTAAAACGATCTCATCCAATTATATGTATGCATGCTTTAATCAAATTGGTTTCAAATCGTGATATTCTGATATATAAACCAATTGAATTGTAATATATGCGTTTTTCGTAACCATCAAATATCACATCCGATTCAGATATCTTGGATTATATAGAATGTTTCATTATCCCAAACTTTTCCTCAACCTGAGCTTACATTTCAGGCCCAAGGTCCAAGCTAGGGTAGGCCTTGACCCAGGCATAGGTTTTAAGCCCGGCCAAGGCTTGGCCCATAATCACCCCTAAAGGAGTAGTAGAAAGGGGTGCAAGTCGGGTTGGTTGGATGGGTTTAAGGAAAATTCGGGCCCAATCCTATCACTTACAAGTAGACTTGTTCACGGGTCAGGTTTCGGGTTGGGCTCCATTCAAATTTTGGCAAAAGTCAAGTCCGAGCCCGGCCCATGAATAGGTCTACTTAAAAGTAAGAATCGAACTTAGACCGAGCCTGTATTAAATCCCGAAATTCCAAATCCAAGTCCAATCCTATCTTAAATTTAGCACAAAAGGAATAAACTTTTATGTGCTAAGAAACCAATCCTTATAAAGAGATGCAACCAAGTAGGATCCTTAGGCTATGTTTGGTTTGAAAGAAAAGGTAAGGAAAGGAAGAGAAATGTAAGGAAATCTATACAAGATTTGTAAAAATTTCCTACTTTTTTCCTTCAAATCAAACATAGCCTTAGTTCTCTAATATCTAGCTTCATCTTGAGACCCTATTCCATGAAACATCCCATATTCCCATTTATTGTGGAAAAGCGGCAATGGTTGGTTTGGATTTGGGTTTAAGGATTAGGTTTAGATCCGGTCTAAAAATGAAAAAAAAAAACCCAATTTTTAAGATGCAAGCCCAGCCTGAAGATAAAAAATCCAAGCTCAGCCAGTATAAAATTGGGGGTAAATTTGATTTGAGTGGGCCTGCTCAAGTTGTACCCCGCATTATATTTCATACTTTATATATGAATATTATAGTATGACATATCTAATTCATATTTATATTATATAATGTCTAAAATAAATTTTATATTTTATATATATTTAATATTTTTTTTATAAACAAATGTCATGGGCCCTGAATTCGGCCCGGCCCGGCCTATGGTCACGTATATGTTTAGCATCGATGCCGATGCTATATATGTTTGGGTTGGAAGCACTATTTTCTGAGAAAACAATGTTCTTTTTGTTTGGAAATGTTGTTGTCAGGTAGGTCTTGGGGCAATAGCAATACATTCTATTTGATACTAGTGTTTTATATCTATTTTTAACATTGGTACTCATCTTAGGAAGTCCACGTCACTACCACATCATGGCTTCATTGACAGCAACAAGCTTCAAATTGAGAAAACATCCGTGTTTTCCTACACTATACTTTCTCGATTTCCAATGTATAATTTGGAGTACCGGATTTTATGAAAAAACAGTTTTAAATATGTTACGATTTTCTGGAGCACCGATTTTTCCAACGTGGTGCTGATGTATCACCGCTTACATCCTTACTTGCTGTTTGAGGGCTTCAGCAAAGGGTGGGAATTGAAACTTCTGGTGGGGTCCTCAGTTATGACAACCTTGATCCCTCCGTTGAAGATTATACAAAGAGAAAGAGGTGATCTTTCACTTTAATTCAGACAACAGCACTGCCATGATCAGGGTTAGGGTTGTAAACAAACAAGCAAATGAATCGATGAATGATGAGTGAAAGGAAAGCCTGGAATTCTACCGATTTAATAAATGGGGTATTAAAGTTGAACAATGCTGTCAATAGTTTCAGCGTTTCAGGTCCGGGAAATTTTCAGATTGACAAACAATTGCAGCGAGCTTGAGGTATTCGTTGATTTGTGCAGCAGAGGCCTCGAGGTGAGGTGACTACAAGCATTGGACTAGCTCTTCAATTTCGGTTTGGTTTCATATCAGGGGTTTACGCAGTTGGAATCATCTTTGATGTTGATGTTGATGGAGACTCTACGGTCAATGTGAAAGACAGAGGACCAAGGCTACGAATAGTTGGAATGTCTCGTGGACAGGACAGACAGGACAGATTTTGAGTTCAAAACCAGGATACTAAAGATGTGATTAGTTCTCGTATAACTCGTATATGAAACAGTTAGATGCAAGCAATTGAATCTAAGAAAAATCGAAGGACCCGTATGAAAAAGGTTACACATTTTAGTTTTTTGGTAAATACAGACCTGCACACAAGCTGATTCTTTTCTATCTGAAGGGAGCCACAGGGTTTTGACCATTTGGGGTCTTCAAGTTTCTAACTTCTTTACACACTCGATCTAACATGCCCAGGAAGTCTCTCACAATCACGAATATCCTAAGTGGATTTGCTTCATCTTTGCTCACATCCCCATGAAAATATTCTGTGATTTCTCTTACATGCAGTAAAACTCGGTCTTCATCTTCCTGTAACTCTTTGATACTCTTCTCTGCGTGACTCAGGAAGGATCTCATTGAGAGAACGAAATTATCACTTTGAGCATCTATAGACAAATCCTCGTATATTAGATGCCGCAGCTTAACCATTCCATCTGATAGGGTTGAGACCGAACTTGCCAGCACATCCAAGTCTATGGTGGCTGTCTTCTTCACATTGCAGAGCTCAACACTCAGACCAGAAACAAGGTCTAAACCCATTCTTCTGTAATCCTCTTCCCTTTCCTCAACAGTTTTATTCTTAAATTTTGGACTGTTCTTCTTTACAATGACCTCAGATTCTCTGATTCCTTCTGATCGTATCATTTCTTGGACAACAAAGTGGAGTAATGTGGTCTTCCCATCAGTTCCTTTCACATCTGCAAGCTTGAGGAGGGCATCGAGCTTGAAAGCTCTGGCACCCCCTCTGATCGTCCCAACATTCATCCTGTTTCCCGTTTTGAGTACAGCTTCAAGTAATCTCAAGAACAGCGGGCTCGATCTCAGTTCCTTGCAGGCCTCCTGAAGAAATAAAAAACGTAAGACCAAGGTGTAAACAATCCCAAATGACTGGTTTGGATTAATGATGTTGTCTAGCATTGGTTTGTACCTCTAGCATTGCGAAGGACTTTCTGAGATGGACCACCTCATCTTCGAAAGTTTCTCTGTAGAGCATGGCCTCGATCCTCAGAAAGGCAAAGGGTATCCTAAGCAACATCTTCACAATTTTCTCTGCCGATCCCAATTCGTTAATGTCTCCTTGATAGTTTGAGAGCTTGGCCTCTTCTTCTTTTGTTGGCTCCATTTTTACTAATGCCTCTAATTGCTGTAAACACAATCCATCCCCTGCATTATCCACCGACAATACCAGAATACTGTTACAGTCAAAACAATTATTTCTCTTTATAATTTGTTTGAGTTGTTTTTTAGTTCTAGATACACTACCTCGAATAAGTGCTTCACATACTTGCTCAACAGTTGCATTCAAAGCCTTTGAAAGTATGGTGAAGTTCTGCAATCTCTTAGGTTCAAGAACATGTTTGCTGGGTGATGGGCTCTTGCTTTTTGCTTCATCAGTCTTGCTTGAACTTTGAAAATTGTACCCAAAAAGTGATTCAATCATCTCCTCATCTAATCTGTTTCATTGTCTAACTAGTTGGTTCAATTAAACAAAAAAAATTATAGTTTTTAGAGAGGAAAGAAAATGGTAAGTTCAATGGCAGCTTACTCGAATGAACTTGATTTCAACTTGTCCCATACCATAGAACGATTTGGGGCGGCTCTTACTTTATCCCAGTGAAGTGGTTTCAGTTTTGGCAGTGGTGCTCCATTCTTTCCAATTGGCATAGTTTGAGGAAATAGGCAAGGTGGTGGTGGTGGTGGTTGACCCTTTGTAAATGGGGTTGGCCTGAAAGGTGGCAAAGGTGGGCATGGTGGTGGAGGAATACTTTCACCCAGTGAAGTTGGTGAAGTTTGATTTGGTGTAGGGCTAGGAGAAGAGGGCTTGTTGTTAGATGGGCTTTGGTTTGACCCTGAAGATGAATTTGAATTCTGAGGTGATGATAGATTTGGCTTTGTACAAGAACTCGAGAATGTAGGTCTGTCTCTTGTTGTACCAGATGATTGAGAAGTTTGAAAATTAAAATGAGAAAAATGTGTATTTGGAAGAGGTGGTGGCGGAGGAGGAGGAGGAGGGGGAGGGGGAGGCACCTCTTGCTGACAATTCAAAGAGTGAGGGGATATTAATGTGCTTTGTTTAATATCATTTGAAGAATTGGGAGAAGAGTGTAAATTTGAATCTGGAGGTGGTTCTGGACCTGGAGTAATTGTAGGAGATGGTGACTTCACTGAATGGGGCAGAGTAGGTTCTCTTAAATCATGACTGGGTGAAGATCCATTTGAGAAGCTTTGCAGAGAACCAACCTCTGATGGATCACTCAGACTACCATCTGAAGCATTGGAAAGCCTCACATTTGATGAATGCGAGTCACATAAGGAGTGAAATGATTCATTATCAGAGAAGAGGGGTTCAGGGTGGACACTTTCATTGGTAGATGAACAATTGCCACTGTCAATCGGTTCTACACGCGCATGTACAGAAAGAATTTCTTCAGCAGAAGAACAACTGACACAATCAGATTCTGCTTTTATCGATTCTCTTCTGCATGATTCATCTACTTTGACCAATGAAGACTTTGATGATTCTTGGTTGGTTGAAATGGCCACAGTTTCGCAAGTGTGTTTTACACAAGAAGCTTCCAGCTCTGAAACTGGTGTTAATGAGTTTAAATAGAAAAGATCAGGGCCAGGGTCAAAACTAACCTTGCTTATTGAATTTGGGGAACTCTCAAATTTTGATCTCCGTCTGGATCCGCCCTCTGTTGTACTATATCTACTTGTGCTTGCTGATCTCCCTGGCAAACATCTTTTGAACTTCCAAATAGCAAAGATGAGCCCAAAAACAGAGAGAACCAAGGTTGTTGCTGTAGATGCAACAACTGCTATAACAATTCTTCTGACTCTAGCTTTATTCCTACTCCCAGTTTGAGCACTGTGAGGTGGCTGCGTCGGACTTGGACGAGGTGATGGACGTTGATGATGATGATGATGATGAGGTTGCACGTGTATAGGAGCCATAGGAACAGGAGCTGGAGCTTCACCTTGAACTGAGGGTGCTGGAGAAGGTGCTGCAAATGCATGTCTAGTGTGATGCTTTCTTGGTCTTCGTATGTTGGCATTGTTCAGTCCAAGCAGGAACCTGAACTTGTCTAAGACGATGGCCTTCATCTCTTCATTCTCATCCCTTCCCGAAACCTTTTTAATCTGGTTTTCCACAGTGTCCTCCAACCAGAAAAACTCTTGCAGCCCACGTTCACCGGAATTATAATCTACTGCATTCAATGAAGCAGCAGACATCAAAAGCTGGGGGTTAAGAATTGATACGAGTAGGAAGGTGAAGAGGATCTGAGGAGCAGAGCCCATGTTCTTCAGCTCAAAATAATCAAGAGATCAATCCACTTTGTGCTTATAACTCTCCCTTCATCATTTCTGTTTTCTTTTCTCAGGGAATTTACCCGGGCGGTGAGGGTGGATGTAGTGGAGAAGATCCAATGCAGAGCCTTTAATGCTACTCCAAGGAACCCCTGAACCTGGCAGTTGCAATCGTACTGGCCCTTCTTTACTCCTTTGTTCATGAACTCTGATCTCTTCCTAAACCCCATAAAGTTTTCCTTCAGATACTGTTAATTCATATCTCATCATGGAGAAACCAGAAATCCCCAGACATTTACCGTAACTCTTCTTATCATCCCTGATTTTCTGTTTATCTTTCTGTCAGAGGGAAGAATGAAAATGTTCCTTCTGCATCCAACGGACACGTCCATGACAATTTTTGAGATTTTAGTGTTGATTTGGTTGTCTAGAAATCTAGGCATAAGACTGATTCATGGGCCTAAAAGTTAAAAATAAACATATAAATAATAATATGGAAATTAAAGTAATGAAATCACGTAAAATTGTCTGTGGGGGTGGGCCCCTATAATGGGCTGGACTTGCTTTCCTCTCAAGAGGGTGACAGTGTAAGTTTTCTCCAACTTCCCAATACCCATCCATCATTAAAGACGCAGAGGTGGGGACAAGTATAGTGAGTGGTCCATCACCTTCTCATGTGATGCTTTACATTAAGACAAGTAGACAGGATCTTGATTTTGAAGTTTGAGTTAGGAGAGAGAGAGAGAGGATATACACCAGAATAGTTACTTGTCTCTTTCTCACTCTTCATGAGCTTGGCCCATGTATAATAAACATTATGTAGTGCTTAAAAGCTTGATGTTTTGTTCAATAAGGTTTGGTGATACCAGGTTGCTCTTTGTGTTAGAGAGAGAGATGTATTTATTCTTATTGGGTAGTGTTTGGAACTTGGAATCTCATGTCAGAGAGTATACAGTAATCTGTTTTATTGATATTGGCATGACATATGTAGGTGTAGCTCCTCAGCTGGAGAACATATTCTTTCTTAAATAAATTGAGATGAGACCAAGATACTCTCTTTGTTTTGTCAAAATCAGACCTAGGCTCACTTCTTGTTCTTCTCCGGATGATATCTGGCGAGTGGCGACCTGTATTAGTTGATTTGCCTTTAATTTTCCTACTAGCTAAACCCCCTTTTCTTCATTTTTAGCAACCTTTTTGTTTTAAATTCTGAGCTGAAGCTCATTTGCTTCAAAATTGTAATTTGTCCCGTGAAATGATGGTGACATGGAAAAACACAAGAGCAATTCGTGGTTGCTACCGAACTATAACAATTGCAGAAAGTCAGAAACATGATTAAAAAGAAATGTTTGCTTAATCAGTATTTCGATATTTTGTGGCTGTTGCCTTGTTGGAATGATGGTCATGGCAGTTGATCTGAAATTAAGGATAAAAAGCCTCTATATTTTATTAATAAGAGTTCTTTTATACATAGAAAGTTTGTTTTGAAAACTGGATTATATCCCAATTTCATTGATAGCCAGATGATTTAGGTGACTTTGATGCTGAGTTGTTTAGGGCATTTGGTTTGTGGCAAGGTTCAAAGTATCGACACGTATTGGGTTTTGGGAGCTCCCCGATATGCCCCTACAGAGGGTGTATCGGGGTTTTGACCGGTTCAGAGGGTGGAGGAGTCTTAAACCGTTCCTCTGAATTGGTTTTGAAAAAAAAAAGGTACCGGTATAGCCCGATATGCCTCTAACGGCATATCGGGTGTATCGATATTTTGAACCTAATCAGAATCGGAATCAAAATCTCTTGAAATCAGAATTTTAACCACCTATTCCCCTTGCCTGTTTGTTTGAGATGGCATTTAGAATTGGATTCCATGAGATATGCATGACTCCCAATGAAGGTTGGTGTCAAGTAAGAGAAATAGGGTTTGTGGAATTTGTAAGTTGCTTGTCTTTTTTTTTTTTGGCCGGATGGAATGAGATTTTCATTGCCAAGGCCAAGGGGAAGGCCAGAGTGGCCATTTCTTCAAATGAGGGAATGCCATTCTGCTAGAAATGGGAATTAGAATCTCATTCTGCCCAACCAAATGGCTAGTCATTCCGATTTTGGTTCTAGACCCTTGCAAACCAAACAAACCCGTATTTTATTCATGGTGAACAATATCAAAGTCATTTTTAGTATATTTTATTAATATTGTATAAATTTCTGACCATGTTAATTTAATTTATTATTTAATATTCAATACCCAAATCACATCAAAATTGAATACTTTATCCATTTACTGATTTGGATCTAGATATATCCAATCTGATCAAATGCATTTACAGACCTAAATATAACTTTAGCTCTATGGTCCCTCATCCTCATGGGTGGGTCTTCCTTACAAAGAAAGAAAAACTCATAGCATCTTTAAAGGAGGATAAAAATTGAACTCTTCAAAACCCCATTTTTTAACACAAATACCCAATTCTTGAAAACGTTATAAATTTTAAATGATGCACACCTAACAAGTAGGGTTGCAGATGGGCCGAGTCTTGGTTTCAATTTTCAGCTTATTTGTTGGAGAATTGGGCCTACCATAAATTTAATAATAATATCCACTAAACGAGATGGGCCCTAGTGTAGCTTGTTAGTTGTATTCTTTTAAAAATCCATTTATAATTTTATTTTAGTTCTACATAAAATATATTGTCCAAGGTTATGTTCCTTCTACGCATAGAGAAAAAAGGGTGATGGTTAATAGGCAAAAGCAATCCGTGCACCTAGTGGTGATCACACGGCGTGCAAACCCCAGCCCGAAATTGTTATATTATATCATATTATAAAAGTATAACATAATTTTTTATTTTATTTAAAAGTCATAGGCCCAAAGCCCAGCCCAGTCCAGGCCCAGGACAAAACCTACCTATACCAAACATAATATTGGGTTGGGTTTGGACTAACCTAATTCAAATAGCAATTTGTTGTTCTAATCATTGGCCACTCCTCCTAAAGATAACTAACTTGATAAAAATTAATTTTGATTCTCGGATATCCTGCCCACAAGGACCTACCCACAGATCAATCGAGGAGTGTAATTTGTTGTTCCCCTAAAGATAACTAGCAATTTGTTGTTCTAATCAGGTCCTTAAACTATACTGATTTCATTATTGTAGGAGATATGAAGATTAATAGATTATAATCAGTGTGTTGTGGATTATAAAAGAAACTTTGAGACATAGATCAATCGAGGAGTGTAATGTGTATGTGTGTATTATCCAAGAATCCAACCTCAGAATCAAGTACAACCATATCCACAGAGAAGGGGACCAGGCTGCTATTTGGGTGATGCTTTAGCTGTCCAATGCTGCCACGCGTTAGTTTCTGTGGCCAACGTCTTCAGTTCACGTCAGCACACGCTTTCACAGCCGTGTCACGAAAAGGCATCATGGGTGAGTAGAGTCCTGCACAGATAAGGAGTCATGCCCCGTCGGGGAGAGCAAGACTTTTGAGAACTTCGGTGGGCGACCTCATCCCAACAACTCCGTGGACCTCGGGCACTTGGCTATTTAAAGGTATCTCCCCCTCGAGGTGAAGGACTTTTACTCCTAAGTATTCTTTGCTCACATACCTACCTCCTTAACTTGAACTAACTCACCCTCAACAACTCACCCCAACCACTCTCAACTCCTATTACTGACTTGAGCGTCAAAGTGTCTTCCTGGGGAATATCTCCTCATGCCTTTGATTCTCTTTATTGTTGCAAATTACCTCATTGCATGATTTCTTCCTTCCATCTCGACTTTGTCTAGTTGACAAGGATTTATCTGATTGTGTTGTCAGTTTGATACACCTCATATTAGACAACATCATATTATAAAAGCAAATTTGAGACGTAGATCAATCAAAGTGTAATGTGTGTATGTATTATCCAAGAATCCAACCTCACAATCAAGTACAACCATATTCGTAAGGAAGGGAACCAAGCTGTTGATTGGTTCATGAATGAACGACCACACCAATTTGAACCTGCTTGTTTCTTCTTGTGAGTTAGATTACATTTTACTTTGTGATCTTGTGAATAGTGCATTTCATGGGTTGTATTAGATTTTTCTTCCATTGTATTAAAAAAGAATAAGGGCCGAGCTAGAAGGGTCAAACATAGATTGGGAGGGCAAAATATAATTAGGAGTTAAATGGGGATTATGAGAATTTTTAAGCCATTGGTGGGGGGGGGGGTGGATGGTTCCCCTCTACCACCCTTGGCTTTGCTCCTGGAGGACCTAAAGGCATAAGTAGAGAGATTGGCCAAACCATGTTGATAGAACATTGCTCTAGGCTGGTTGTAGTGGAGACTTGGGATTGAATCTAGCCTTCACTAGGTTTGGGGATGGTCTACCCCTCATTGGGGAAAAATTATAGGCCACTTCATTAGACCCCTTATGTATAGAAAGAACATTACTCTAGAACTCAAAACTTTGAATTTCTTGGTAGAGCCCACATCTATATCTATATATTAAAATGGAATTTGTCAAGTTGGCACTTACATGATTTTTGGTTATTTTGAGAAGCATTTATCTTCTTTTTTTTTCTGGCTGTTTTTGAGAAGCACTTATCTTTTTTCTGTTTTTTTTTTAATTTTTCTCATTTTAAAATTGAACAAAATAACTCAAGTGGCTAATAAGCTTTAAGACTTTTATTTCCTCTCATTAACTCCCTCTCCTCATTCTCAATTCTAATTAACTCCTTTAATTATCTCTTCTCATTAATTATGCCATTAACTCTCTCTCTCTCTCCTTCAATAACTCATGCCATTAATTCTCTCTCCTCTTCATTACTCTATTAAATTGCCTAAAATTTGTTAACTATATCTATATCTGCATTCATTTCAATTTAAGTATAATTTTATATACATTAGATGTACTTATATTAAATTATAATTATCAATAAAAAATAATTATATTGAAATGGAGATATTCAATGATATATTATTAGGTTAAATATATAATTAATTTTTTAGTTAATTAATTAAGTTATTCATATTTCAAAATAAATATTATTTAATTCACTAACAAATAAAATCAATGTTTTAAAAATCAACTTGGAGGTTGAATAGTCAATGGTTAACGTTTCAATTGTCCAGGTTGGACAAATCAAATCATGACACATCATCCATTTGTATATGTATAATATGATATAATATAATTACATTTTTGTGTGTATATTATTTTAGGTTCAATTTGTACCTTTTGTTTTAGTTTTTAATTTTTTATAAATAAAAGAGCTATAAATTGAAATTTGAGACCAAGAAAAGAGGTTTTTTTTTGTATAATGGGGTTGCAAAGAGCATGAAACGTTACCCAAAATGAAAAAAGATCACCTAATAAGCACAAAGTTAAGTCCTCTATAAGTTTTATTGTATAATGTAACACATGACCTAATGACTAGACCAAAAGGGTCAATGGTTCAACTGCCTAGACTGAACGAGTTTTGATCAAATTAATGGTTTTTGACAAAATAGTAGGTTTTATGAAATCCAAAATTAGAAATAGGGCCGAGTGATGGTCCGAATGGTTTCATCTGAGTAAACGACAAGTTGGAATAAGATAAAAATAATTATTAATATAATAAAAACAAATAAATTAATAAATTATAATAAGATAAATTAAAAACTAATATCCAGTTAAGGCCATGTTTGGGAATGCTTAAAAATAAGTGCTTATTTGGGCTAGCACCACACCATTAAGCACTTATTGGTGTTTGGGAAATTAGCGCAAAACAAGTGCTTATTTTAAAAATAAGGGCTTATTTTTTAAGCCCAAATTTCCAGCTTTTTTAAGTGCTTTTAAAATAAGCACTTATTCATTTTTTCTTCCAAAATTATCCCTAGCTGAATTTTAAAATACCACTTATAAAATTATCCCTAGTTGAACTTTATAAAAGTACTTTCATAAAAATACTTTTATTAAAGTGTTTTCATAAAAATACTATTATAAAAGTGCTTTCGATTGCTTTTTTAAAAGTATTTTTATGAAAGTGCTTTCACTAAGGTGTTTTTATAAAAGTAATTTAGTATAAGTACTTTCATAAGGGTATATTTTAAAAATTTGACAGAAAATGAAGGACAAAATAGTCATAAATGTTTATTTGAGAAAAAGACTACCAAACGTCCGATATGAAATAAGCGCTTATTATTTTAAAAAAAGCACTTGAAAAAGTTGGGTGTCAAATGCAAATAAGTGCTTATTGGAATAAGCACTTGTTTTTAAGCACTTATTGGTTTTGTAATTAATTTTTACTAATGAACTTAAATTCATTGAAAAATAAAAACTTAATATAATCAATTAAATATAATAAGGATTAATAAAAAGAAAAATTAATAAAAAAATATTAACCTTAAATATAGTTTAATTAATTTAAAATCAAATTAAATTCTATTTAAAAATAGGGAAAATTATAAAAACCTCCTTAGGTTTTCTAACAATCCTATGAACCTCCCCTATATATGTTTTGACCTTAACAAAAACCTGCTCCCATATTGTTTTGAAAAACGGTTGTGATATTTTCCTTATATTAGTATTCGAAATAGAAAATGTTGATGTGATGCATTAAAATCTACCTTTAACCAACTTTATTCAGAAATAATTACAAACAAAAAAAATACTTTTATCTAAAAGCAATACAAAAATAATTACAAACCATAAAATTTTAAAAATTAATAAAAGGTTTAGCATTAAGATGTATAAAAAAAATAATACAAATTTATATAGAGCATAGAAAATTAGCCACTCTCATTAAAGTGCAATTTGAGTTATGATAGAATAACTAAATATAACTCAAAAAAAAAATTCTTGAATTAGACTTAGATGAGCACGGTTTAATTAGAAATGTCATAAATCTCCTTTCTCAAATTTTACCATGCTTCGCATGGGTCCTGACTAGTTATATATTATAAACTCCAATGCATTATTCTTTTTGAAGGTTTCGAACCTAGTGAAATATTGATAAATATCGTTTCGAAACTTACTGGCACATGATATGTGTGGAATGGCCGATACACTCATTCTATTCCAATCATGTTGACCGCATTGGCCGATGTGGGCCGATATGTAATCGTATCAAATTGATACATTCATTCATGTTTGTATAAAAAAAATAAATTTGATAAATTCATGTTGTTCTGCTTTTTGCTTTTACTTTTCCAATTTGAATCCAAAGCTCTCTCTCTCTCTCATTAATTCTTTCTCCTATAATTAATTCATACTCTCCGGTCAAATCCCATATTCAACTCTCTTTTGTACTCTCTTCTATCATGACACCATGTTTCAATTACTTATCATAATTACATTTTAGAATTTAGCTTAAATTTTCTAGTTTATACCTATCCGCATATTATAAAAAACGAAAATAAATTTTAAATATTAACAAAATAAGTTAAGAATTAAGATATAAATCATCTAAAACTTCGATTTTTTTTTTCTTTTTTTATTTGAGTTTTCGTGACGTATTCTAATTTCCTATCAATTTGAACCTTGCTCCTTAACGCTTCAAGACAACCGTTGAGAAAAAAACTATAGAAAAATTGATAGATGGTCATAGACCGGACAAGAGACAACCTACAGCTCAATTCCGATTCATTCATTCCTTCAATCCAGTAGTAGGTGTCAATCAATTTTAAGGGTTTGTTTGGATCATGGTAATAAGGGTTTGGAATTGGAATCAAAATGGTTCTATTTGAGGAAAAGGTCATTCCCTTTCCCTTGGGAATGAGAATCCATTCCAGTTAGGGGTTCTCACAGTTCGTGCATGGCCCAATTTTTTAAACTGAATCAGTAGCATCGACTTTTGAAAAACCAGTAATCGATATCGATCGGTTAACCGATTGATCGGTTATTATAATATATTATAAATAAATATATAAATATATAATAAAAAATTAGAAATATATATAAAATCTTATACTATAATTCTATAAATAATAAATAATATATTATGTATTATAAATATATATATAATACATATATATATATTCATTTATAATATATAGATAAAATAAAATATATAAAAATATGTACATACAATTCGGTCTCATTGATTTGGTTCGATTTTTCAGTTTTTCTTAAACAACCCTAATTCCAACTGATTCTAATTCCGATCTGAACCTTACATTCTAATTCTGAATCTATTAACAAACAGACCCTAACTATTTTCTGGTGGCACTTGTGAGCTGTGAAGCAATGACACCGTCGGTTTATTAATGCTAACGCGGCCGCCACTCTCATAAGCCAATTTCGACCACTTCACCAAAGTTATCAACATAAACACCCCAGCCCCTTGTCCCTCTCTCCGTCTCCATCCACCGACCAACAAACATTCCCAAACTTCCCTCTTGGGCTCCACCTTCTCTCTCCTCTCTCTCTCTCTATATATATATACCCAACTTTCATCTCCATCACCTCTTCTCTACCATATGCATTCATTTCTTTTGCTTGGTTTCATCATCTTCAGGTCTGTTCTTCTTCACTTTTTAAATATGTTTTAATCATGTTCTTCTTCATTTTTTCTCTTGCTCTGTTCTATGACTCTATCTCATTTGCAACAGAGATGGGGATTAAGGAGTTGTTTGTCAGTTTGATGTTATCATATGGATCATTTGGATACGTATTCTGCGCTCTCCCTAGAAAGCCTGTAGACGTGCCCTTTCAGAAGAACTATGTGACCACATGGGCTGCCGACCACATTAGGTACATCCATGGCGGTTCCCGGGTTCAGCTCGTCCTCGACAAACACAGTGGTCAGTAGTCCAGACCCATGATGAAGTTCCTCAAAGCTTTTACAGTTTTGTCATTCTTATTTATGTAGTTAGCTCTTTGGCTTCAAAAGCTTAGTTTTGTGAATTGTGACAAGGAACTGGATTTCAATCAAGAAGCTCCTACTTGTTTGGGCATTTCAGTATGAGAATAAAGATGGTTGCAGGCGATTCTGCCGGTATTGTCACCGCCTTCTATGTGAGTTTCTCTCCCTATCTCCATTTTATTCTCTTCAGTCTTACCTTGGTCATCATTCATCAAATGGCGTTCAAGACAATGGGCCCCATTTTTTGTCTAATAATTTAATTTTAGGCCCAATACCTAGAAGGCTGGCCTTATTGTACCTTTCATAAGAATGGCAATGGAGTGGGGCGGGGCGGGATGGGTTTTTACGCACCCCGAGCACATTTACCCTAGTGAGGTTGAAAATCTCAACCTAAATAGAAATCCTCGAATTTTCCCTGCCCAGCACTGATGATTCAAACCTTCAAACCTATAAACCAATTTTTTTATAAAAAAAAAAAAACCTATTGCATGCATGTTATTTAATATGTGTATATAATTTATTTTTTATTGTATAATATAAAATAGTATATTATATATACATATTATTTATCGGGGTGGGGTCGACAAATACCACCCCCATTATGAATGAACCCGACCAATGATCAAAAACCAACCCCGACCGGGCGGGGTGGATCAGAGTCCCGGCTGGGTCGATCAAATTTCCATCTCTAACCATACTTTGGCCCATCTAGAATATCCTCGCCAGTTTACTTGCTATTTGATATCGCATCGATCAACTTCTAAAGGGCCCATAAAGTTGTGGAAAAGCCTTAAAAGCGAGAGCGCATTATCCATGTGGTCGGGATTGTTTGATAAACCATGATTGATGGGGTCACACTCACACTCGCTTGTTGAAAGAAAAGGGTAAAATATAAAAACCTCCCCTGCAAGGTTTTGACAATCATAAAGTTTTTAAAATCGAATTTGACAGGAACTGGCTAGGTGATTGGTTCCCTTTTATTTTATAATCATTATTTCGCCAAAAATAAATTATTGACCCAGGCAGTCGAACCGTCTAACTGTTTGGCCATTTTTTATTTTTTTATTAGAACAGACCATCCGTTTGGTTCAAACAGTTGGACCATTTAACCCAAAAACCGGACCTCTGACCAGTTCATTGTCCGATTCAATTTTAAAAACCTTGATCATAATAACTTTTCTCAAGGTTTCACTTTAACAAACACCTAAGAATACCTCCCTTCCATCTTTTTCTCAGTAATGGAGACTTTAAAGTTATGAAATTATTTTACAACTTATTAGATTATTAGAGCATCTTTCAATATAATTCAGGACACCAGATTTGCCCTTCTAGACTTTACTAGGACTAACATTTTTAGAATTTTTTTAACTAAAAAAGTTTTTTGTGGGTATTTTAATAATTTTTAATCTATAAAAGCAAAATAAGTACTTATGACAAAATTAATGCATTAGGCCAATGTTATAACAAAAGGGAGGTAAATGCAGGTTTTTTTTTTTAATAAATCTTATAGGCGATTATTATGATTGACAGAAGCCTCAGGGGAGGTTTTTATATTTTACCCAAAGAAAAATGAGTGGCCCAACAATTAAATCGATTCCATAATATGCATAAAGATAGAAGCTTACACTATGCGTATTTGTTAATTGCTTTTGATCCCGTTTTCCACTGTCTCAAATACAATTGCTTCCATTTTGGCAGCTTTCGTCACAGAGCACAGAACATGACGAGATAGACTTCGAGTTCTTAGGGAACAGGACGGGGCAGCCCCACATTTTGCAGACAAATGTGTTTACCGGAGGGAAAGGAGACAGAGAGCAGAGGATCTATCTGTGGTTTGATCCAACCAAGCACTTCCATACCTACTCCGTCCTGTGGAATATGTATCACATTGTGTAAGTTCTTAACTCAATTCCTTCTGTTATTTATAGCACCCATCAGCTGGATCCTGGTGAACTGGAAGGTTTGAATAAGTGTTTTTGAACCGTCATTGACCGGGATGGTTGGACTATTTGACTTGAGAATTATTCAGGTAACTAGTTCTGCTTCACTTCTAATCTGTTCTTTGGTTAAAACCGTTGACTTGGTTAGCAACCATCTGCCCTAGTAATCAAACCGTTGATCCATTCGACTTAAATAATGATTTTTGACTGTTTTTTATTTTTGAACCACTGACCTGAAAACTGGTGGCCAAATTGGTTTCAATTCCAGGTCAATTTTTAAAACATTGGCTTGAATCTTATTTTGGATTTGGAGGGTTGGTTATATCAAAATGAAATATGGGGTTATAACTTGCCATCTGTCTTACATAGTCATCAGGACCCACCGTTTCATGGGTCCCATCTTGATGATTAATTGAGCCAAAATTCAGCTTTTACGTGAGTCCCTACCCATGATTACATAGTGAATATTCTAGCGATTTAAAGGTAAACCCAATTTCGCAAGCTCGGCCGGCAGCCCTAGATGCTGAGACACTTCATGGGCCACGCAAAGGAACATTTAATGATTTAAAGGTCTTAAGTATAAGTGGGCCAACCCATAAAGATGGATAGTGATCGATATTAGGCACCGTTTGTTTTTAGGTTTTCAGGTAAATGTTGGATTTGTGGTAATGGCAGTTGATGCAAACGGTTCCGATTGGATTCGAATGGAGTAATCTAATAATACAAATCTTAAAACCGGATCTTACAAACATCTATTTGAACCCAAATTCGTTAAGAATGTTAGATATATGAATCTGATCCGATTCGATTTGACTTCTGAAAATTTTAATAAGTTATTGAAAGGAAAAAGAACATAAGAGTTTATATATAGAAAAATAAAAAATACAAATATTTTTTCAACTATTTTCATTATATATATGTGTATTTTTATAAAAATAAATAATATAAAAAATACAAAATTACAAGAAAGAGAGAGAGAGAAAGATCGGATTGGATAGGGGGTAATCCAAATAATGATCCTATCCAATTACCTTACAGGAATATCTAAATCCGATAAAATAGGATTGAATTTGAATTTGGATTGAATCATGATCTGATCCATTTGCACCCTCAATAGCACTTTCTCCTGAATAAATTTTCCGATCACTTATTCAAAAAATTCCTACCCTTTTCCTAAGTGAATAAGTTATTTTTTTGCTTAGAGAAAAAGATATTAAAATTTAATGAGACAAAAATTCCCATTAACCAGATATTAAAAATAAAAAAGTACAATAACAACAATAAAAAACAAGAAAAACTAACCTGGACAAAAATAATACAAGTAAATGCAATTATAAGTGATTTACAATAGTTTAATGGGGGCCTTAATAAAAATCTTCAAAGCCATTTAAAAATTGGCCTCTGATGGGTAGCCAAGCCCATTAGCTAGTAGTCTATAAAATCATTTCTTCAACATACAATAGGCAATGCAGTGCATGTTGGAGAATATCAACGTATTCAAAGACCTTATCTAACAACTTAAGCTTTTATGTTGAATGATTCTTTAGATTACACGGTTATAATTTTTCCGTTAGGCCACGTAGTTGTTATCCTTTGTATGTGACACAGTAACTTTATACAACGTGGCAGCTTCTTTGTGGACAACGTGCCCATAAGGATATTCAAGAACAGCAAGGATCTGGGTGTGAGGTACCCTTTCAATCAACCAATGAAGATCTACTCAAGCCTGTGGAATGCTGATGACTGGGCTACGAGAGGAGGATTGGAGAAAACTGATTGGAGCAAAGCTCCCTTTGTTGCTTCCTACTCATCTTTCCACGTGGACGGCTGTGATGCTTCTTCACCCCGTTCCCTGTGGGTGTGTAACACCAGGGGAAGGAGTTGGTGGGACCAGAAAGCCTTCAGGGACCTGGACGGCCAACAATACAGGAGACTTAAGTGGGTCCGCAGGAAATACACTATATATAACTATTGTACCGATAGATCAAGGTACCCTAATGTCCCTCCCGAGTGTGCTAGAAACAGAGACATCTAAATCATAGAGGAAAGGAGATTATGTCGTGTGTGTTATGATTGTAGCTAGTCAACTGTTATCTGCTGTATGCTTATATTATATTCAATCTAGTACATACAATTATATAATTATTTATTGTCTTTTCTCTCTCAAAATTTCAGTTGGAACTCAATGAAAGAAAAGTGGGGTGTTCCATTAGTGATTGTGTTAGTGTTTCATTTGGTTCATAGGTCCAATCAACGATTTGGGAAGCATTTTCATTTTGTTGATTTTGTTGCTGGTAGGGGTTTTAATCGAATCATGGGGCATTTTTTTGTAATTGAACTGGTAATACTGGTTTTTAGAAAATCGGTAATCAAAATCTATCGATTAACCAGTTGATCTATTTGGTTAACCATCAGTTCGGTTCATGGGTTTTTCGATTTTTTAATTTTTACAATATATAATAAAAATTATAAATATATATTTATATATAATGCATATTTATTAATTTATAATATATAAAAAATATATATGTAATATAATATACATAAATATGTATATAAAATATATAAAAATATATGTATACCGGTCGATTCGGTTAACTGTTGGTTTTCTATATTGGTTAACCGAAACTGAACTGAAACCAAACCAACCAATTCGATTAACTGATTTTTTAGTTCAGTTTCAATCGATTTTTTCAGTAGGTTCAGTTTTTTTTGCTCACCCCTAATTATTGGTACTAGAATTAATAAATCGTTTGTTTTAGAATTAATAAAATCCCTATTTCTTGTGCATTATTAAAGATGGCTTTTTGAACACAATGATATGATTCAAAAAATAATTTATTTATGTATCTAGAACCATATTCATATGTTGTATAAAAGTGAATAGTTGACAATTCGATTAGCTATGGAGGATCTTCATTCCTTTACACTGTTTAACCACTTCTTTTTGAAACATTTTTAATTCAAATGTATGGATGGATAATCCACTCTTTTATATTTTTCCTATTTTTTTGGCAATAGATATACCATGAAAGTTGAATGATAGTAGACAAATTGATTATATAAAAAATGAACAACAGACATAATGATTCAAAGCACAACCAGAATCATACATATCAAAATACCCATGGTTCAAAATCAATATTTACATTTTCCAAAAAAAGGTGGTTTGGTATTGAAACACAATTACCTTTTTTTTTAACCACTAAAATAACCCCTAGAGCTTAACCAACTTTTATTTATTTATTTATTTATTTTTTCATTTCACGGGGCTACACAACAAGGTCTGAATTTGATCCCAGGTATAACAAGTTAAAGATCTTACCAATTAAGGGGCTGTTTGGTATCGTTGCCATTTCTTGGAGCAACGGCATCACATCAGCACTACAACGGAAAAAATGGTGTTTTAAGAAACGGGCATTTGTTTCGAAAGCCATGTCTCGAAAACCGGAAAGTCATGGCTTGGAGCAATGTCAAATTTAGTGTTTCTTGGAGCTGCAGTTCGTTCATGCCAACAAGGCAGTCATGTGGCACTGGATAATGGGTGCCAATGCTGAAAATGTTTATTGGAGCAATGGTACCAAACAGAAAAAGTTGTTGTTGCTCCAAGAAACATCCTACCTGGCAGCAACGATTTCAAACAAAAATAAAAGGCACCATTTTCTGAGAAAACAGTGCTCCAAGCCACACATCAACAATACCGTTTTCTCAGAAAACAGTACTGCAACTGCAAACATATACCAAGTCATCATAAGTTGATATAGGGCTTAGCCAACTTTTCAGTTATCAAAATTGAATCAGACAACGAATCGATCAGGGGTCCAGTTCCCAGGTCAAATAGTCCAACCATTCAAACCAAACGAACGCCCCAATTTAATAAAATATTAAAAATTAAAAAATGGCTAAACCGTTGAACGGTTCAACCACCTGAAACAGTGGTTTGCTGACTAAATCAACAGTTTTTAAGAAAATAATGGTTCTGGAGTGAAATTGAACCAACCACCTGACCGATTCCCGATTTTTCTAATTTTGATATATGAGAATGCAAAATAGAAAGACCGAAGAAGTTGGAGTTGAGGAGGCCCACTTTTTATAACTGTTTCTATGTTAGTGTGGGAAGTGAGAACTGAAAAGCTGAGACGGCAATTTGGAATTTGGAATTGAGAAATTGGAATAGTGAATTGAGTATCCACAAAAGGAAAAACATATGCAGAAACGCGTTCAGCCCCGTCCCACCCAGCAGTAATATAATAATGTGAATACAATGGAGGGAAATAATTGCAACTTTGTAAGGGAAATTGATTTTCTTTCAATGATCGGATGAGAGGGAAATATATTAAGGGTCTGTTTGATTTATAGTCGGAATTAGAATTGAAATCGGAATGGTCTATTCCTTCTATTTGGTTTAGACAGAAATGAGAATGAGAATTAAAATCAGCAAAAATGTGATTTTATTCTTATGGGAGGGATAGAAAATGGTCATTCCCTCAAATATGAGAATAACATTCCAGCAAGAATAGGAATAGAATTCTGATTCTACCCAACCAAATAGAAACAGTTAGAATCGAAATAATCCATTCTAATTCTGATTCCAGACCCCTAATCCTGTAAACCAAACGGACCCTAAAATTACGTGTGACATGATCTCATCGTCACTCTGATGCCATCCATCGGTGGTGAAAGGAAAAACCAGGGCTCTTCTCTCCATCTCTCTATTCTCTCTATGGGCCATAACAGCTACTTGATGTTAGAATTTTGCAAAATGCAACCTCTGCTTAGGGGTGACATGGGCCCCACCCTGTCACCGTGTGGAGCCCCCCCACAAACTTGCCTAAGTTTCAGGAGGATGACGAGGATGCTCTATTTTAATATGTGTACGGTCCTGAAATTGAAAGCACTAAAAAGATAGACCTGACAATTTGGGTTGCCCCGGTTGAGTTCGGGTCGGGTCGATCGTTTTCATGATTTCGGGTTGGATTCCATTTTGGGCGGGGGCCAGCAAATGCTAAACCTAATCTTAAACTTTCGGGGGTTAGGGTTTGATTCATGGGTCAATTCAGGTCAATTTTAAAAATAATTGAAATTAAAAATTATTAAAATATTAAAATTTAAAGGAATTAAAATATTTAAATAGTCTCAATTAGACATGGCAATTGGGTCAATTATGTAATTGACCCATGATTCAACCCAACCCAACCTAATTTTTTGGGTCGGAACAGGTGATGCCACTCTTGAATCTGGGTGGCTAGATATGATACTCTAACCCTGTTTTCGGATTGGGTTGAACCTACGGGTTTGGTCATTTTTGTCAGGTCAACTAAAAGATATGCATTAGACCATATGGTTTGAAGTCCACTCTAAATCTGCTACCCACATCTCTGCCCACAGAATATTATCACCATATATTGGAAACATTTCCTTATGAAAAAGAAGAAGATATTCCCAGATTACAGTATGCCGCTGTCATATCCCGTGAGTAAGGATGTGGGAACAGCTTCTTGTTAGTAGATCCGAGCCTTTGGAAATTGGAAGTCATGTGCTCTTTCTGAGTTTAGGTGCAGACCCTTCCTAAGGTAAGAAGTATTGGGCTATAATTGGATCACATCCAGCTACATCCGCATCTGATGCAGTTATCAAAGCTTTGGATACAAATTGGATGTATTGATTTGGATCTGCGTCCATGTTATTGTGTTTAATATGAAAAAAAAAATAAAAATAAAATATTTATTTCAATATGTTTTAAAAACTGACCAGGAGGTCAAATCGTTTTTGTATATTAATTCGATCGTTCGGGTCAAATAGGTTAGCCGTATCCATGTTGTGTGTTTTTAAAATTAAATTAAATTAGTTCCGAATCTTACTGATTGAGTATGTTCAAGTATTTTCTAATATGATTGTAAATTTTAATTATTTTATTTTTAAATAGAATAAAAAATAAAAATATAATAATCAATATTATAAAGATCCCATAAGAATAGATATAACTTCAATTGAACGTTCAAATTAGACAGTCAGACCATAGACCTCCGGTTTGATCGCTGCAATCTTTCATCCTGGCTGGCAGCCCCATTTGATTATTGATTGTAAGTTGCAACCAGGATGTAAGGAGCCATATTCCATGAGAATTGGATGATGACAATCAGAATTCCAGGTTGGCAATCCATAGTTTCACCAACAATTAAAGCAAGGTTGAGGTAACAACAAGCGTCTGCTCCCCAGTTTGGTTAATTAATTGATTATATTAAGCTGCTTTTGGATTAGTTATGCTTAATTTGTACTCAGTACTCAAATATTATACGTAATTTCTATTATTGGTCGTTGGATTAAAGATTGTAACGTGCAAAATCCTTTATTCCTGGAAGAGACCATACACAGAGGGCTACTTCTCACGTGCCCATTTGGGAGGAGATCGGATAAGCCGGAGGCAAAGGTTGTGTTTGGTGTTCATATTGTTTCTATCTCAAATATTTTTAGATTGATTAATATAAATTTCTTTCACACATGCATTTTTAAGGTATGCCTGTTTTATATTGATCAATCCAAATCTTGTCAAGTGGAAACAGCAATAACGTAACCAAAATCATGCACAATAGATTGGGTGAGTGACTTATCACAAGTGAACACGTTAATGTTCCTATTGTGGAAAACTCAAGAAAAATATATTCAAATGGCACCCAAAGATGAAAAGAACAAAGAAAGAAAAGGAAGCAAAGAGAATACACAAATTTACGTGGTTCGACTTATGCCCTATGTTCATGGGCGGAGTAGTAGTAGAAATCCTATATAGTCAGTAATGGAGAAGAAATACAGAATTGTGCACTTACAATTTCACTCACAAAAAACCCTAAACCCAAATGCATCCAATCTCTCACGCTTCTCTCACCCAAAGATGAAATACATCCATAAGCTAAACAAACCCTACGCTTCCACCACAAACCATTATGAAATTTTACCTTCGAATTTTTCTCAAATTAATTCAGAATGGATTCATGAAGCGAATCGCCACAAATAATTCAAAGCATAAACACAACAGCTCCATACCAATGGGGCCCACATTGAACCCATATTTTATGTATGTGGAACCATGGTGTGTTCATTTGTGATAGTTTGCCCAACCCACTGTATATAATTGTCTCCGGCCTTTC